ATTCGAATATTCCGTGCAACCTTGTAAGAGGTTCCACTTCCTTCACCTCCGTTTCTGTTTTAACGCAGGTGCCGGCCAAAATTAATACATCGCGTTGGAAAGTACGTACGTACGTACGTACGTAAGTACGTATGTACGTGGCTTTTAATGTTACGGCACGGATGTTGCAACTGTTACACTTATTTTGTATTTATAACAATTAACCAATAATAAACAATTGCAGTAGGAATAAAAAACACTAAAAATGTCGCATAAAGCTGATTGTCACATTTGTGTTAATCGTCACAGCACGTTTTCCGAACTTGATCATGTCGCAATATAGAAAACCAAATATTAAATTAACAAGTATATGGGATTTAGATTCCGAGGAAGAGGAAGTTGACGAAAGGATAGATGAAGCCCCAAATATCCCATGGACTCAATTTCCAAAGGAAGAATGGGAACAGATCAAAGCTAAAACACGACAAGGTTGCAACTGTGACGATTGTGAACGAGGTTTGATTTTTTTTTTTTTTCGTATTTTCTATAAGAGTCGGAGTTATGCTTTAATTGCTTTCTCCGATAAATTCTTTTATTATACCTTCATTTGCCAAAAAACTTTATATTCGTTTGAATTTAGCGATTGATCCGACGATCCGGCCGGATTTTTCTGCTCTTCGAAAAATATTTTCATCGGATAAGTTACTCCGTCATGCAGCTATATTCGCTGGAACACGCAAGATTAACGAAAAAATTGTAGATCACTTTCATACTACTTGGAGACATCCAATGCATATGGGCGTTCCCAACGTTGAGTTTGTGTCTTTCATGATGAGTGATACGAGTGTTTGTCAAAGATTCGACGATTATATGTCAGAATTATTATTAATTCTTGATGACCCTAACGTAAAGCCTTTATGGCACGGTACAAAAGTAAACTGCAAATTTGCTGACAAACCGTGTGATCCTTCTTCATTAGATAGTTGTGCTGGATGTAATATATTAAGTAAAGGGTTTGATATTAGCAAGAGCGGATCAGCAAATCCATTTAAAAGGTGAAAATGATTTAAACAAGTAATTTAATTGATATATATATTTTTTTATCACTTTAATAAATTAATTATTCCTATATCAGATTTGGAACTGGCATTTATTTTGCCCCTAATTCCTCTAAAGCCCATAGTTATGCTACTCCTCGAGGAGGTGGCGAAGATTTATATACCATTTTATTTTGTTTTGTCGCTTTGGGAAGGTAAACTTCTTTTATATTTTTTATTCACATAGCATTTAAAAAAAATTTTCTCATTCTTATCTATTTATGTTGGGTAAAAGGTGTCATACAACAATTGATGACATTCCAAGTTTAGCTGAACCTCCGTATCCTTGTCATTCTGTACATGGGCGTGTAGGACATCGGTTGAATTATGAAGAATACGTTATATACAGACCGGATGCTGTTGTTCCTTTCGCTGCCGTAACGTATCGGATGACTAAGTGGTAATAATGAAAATACTTAAACTCATTATAAATTAGTATTAATTCATTCATTTACCTTTTTCGGTTGATTACATTAAATCGATTACATGTATTACTAAATTATATACTATGTATTTAATGTTTGTCTGATCTTAAAGTGTATTATATACTTTATTAATTTTAAATATATTAAAGAGCTTATTATACAAAAAATTAATAACATGTTATCAAATGTGATGGATTCCTATTATATCTTCGTTTTTCCCTCCATAATTAATTCACAAATTTCTATTTAATGGTTAAAATTATAATATTATTATTAAAAAAAATAAATAATCATTGTGCTTTATAAACAATCAAATACTGTGGAATTGATGCCTCTTCTCTATACACAACTATTTCATCATAATTTAA